ACTTGTCTCATTTTATCTGGTGTGGAACACATGGAAACGCATCAAAAATACATGCAAATGCACTGGACTGCACCTGAAAGCCCATTTTAAGCTGGAAAAAAAAAAACACAGTAAAAAAAAAAAAACACAGTAAAAAAATAAAAAAAAAGAAACACACTGCACTGCTTTTTGCAGCTCTGCTCCACACATGAGATGTAACTCTTGGGGGTTTTTTTGCAGTTTCTCTGAGCATTGCACGGTCTGATCTTGGGTTGAATTTGCTTGGACATCCACTCCTGGGAAGATTGGCAACTGTATTGAATGTTTTCCACTTGTGACTAATCTTCCTCACTGTAGAATGATGGACTTTAACCCCTTCGTGACTGACGACGTATGTTTTAAGTAATTTTCAGGCCTAAAATGTGGAATATAACATGGGTACAAAAAATGAAAAAAAGGCCTCAGTCATGAAGGGGTTAAATTGTTTGGAAATGGCCTTATAACTCTAAACAGATTTATGTGCAGTAACAATTGCTTCTCATCATTGCTGATGTCTTGCCTCCTTGGCATTGTGGTAACACACACCTGAATGCTCCAGACCAGCAAACTGCTAAAACTTTGGCTTTTATAGAGGTGATTGCTGATGATCAATTAAGCAAGCGCATTTCATTAGCAGCACCTGGGTGCCACTTAGCCGGTAAAGGTGTACTTTTTTCACACATAACCTCCATTTTGGATTTATGTTTGTAAAATAAATAATGATACGGTGTCATTTGAAATGTGTTGTTGTTCATCAAAGGTTTTATTTACCAAATTTTAACACCTGATAAGGACCGGATGATTTTTATTATGTCCTGAGGTCTCATTCACACCTAGGTGTATTGCATATGCGCGTCCGTCGCGCGTTTTTTACCGTGATTCGCTGTAAAAAAGTCGCGTGACCGTCGCGCGTTTCCGAAGGCTACTTGGCTGTATCCCAATGGAAACGCGCAACAAAACGGCCCAAAGTAGTACCTGTACCTTTTCAGGCGTGGGCCGTTTTGTAGCGCGTTAGGGACCGGCAGAAATACGCCAAGGTGGGAACGAGACCATTGAATACAATGGGATTTATATTTTTGAGCGTTTTGTAGAGCGTTCGTCGAGCGTAGAACGCGCTACAAAACGCTCAGGTGTGAACGAGGGCTAATGCTTAGAACTGTAGAGTTCAAACAGAGTGTACTTTCTTTTTTACACGACTGTATTCTTTATGGAGTATGCTTATTGTTCTGTGACTTGACTTGGTTACTGAATCATAGTTGTCAGTTTCCCTGAATCATTGACCACATCAAGTAATTATGTTTATGCCTCTTTATCTCTTACGAATAGTGTTTTTTAGATAGGGGAGATATGTGTGAAAACACCTGCAGCATGACTGAATGTGGGTGCGAAGTTTCCTCTCTCCATGATAACAATTTCATTATGCACCAGCTAACTTCACAATGACCTTATCAGTAAGCACCTCTACATGCAAATCACATCAAGCTTTCCACATTTATGCACAAACTCTGTGAGCCTTTTATATGTTCACTAAACCTTTAATCAAGCAGATAAGTATCGTGGACCCGTTGTGTTGGATATTTATTTTAATTTAGGGACATTTACAAAAATCAAAAAATAACTGAGATATGTACATTTATGCACAATACTCATCTAAACCCTAAAGCTGAGCTCTGGGCACAAAAACCTAAATCGATACACTACTCAACAATCACAAAGGATAAAAATCCACTTTGTGTGCACCAAATGTCTTTACAAACCTAGACATTGCTTTGTTAACTACCTCCGGGCCGGACCGTAGTAAAAAAACGGCCGGCCGGGAGCTCTCCAGATCTGGGTCTTTAGACGTCCGCTCAGACACGCCCCCTCGTGCTCGCTGCTGGGCGCTCGCGAGCTGGAAATGTCCGATATTTAAAAGCAGGCACCGATGCCTGTTAACATACAAGCAATCCGCCGGCTGTAGAGCCCCCCCCCCCCGCCGTTGTCCCGCTGATCCCGGGCTCCGTTGTGCATGGCGCCTGTGTCACAGGGGATCAGAGGGAGATTGTTAAACGAGCTCCCTCCGGTTCCCTCTCCCCTGCAAGAATGCGTATAATTGTATATTACATCACTTCCGCATTCCGCATTCTTGGGTCACTCTCCAGTATGTATGGGTCCCCACCCATACACGCAAACATGCGTCGGGGGGCGCATACGTGCAAAAAAGACAATTGCGCCCATTACGCCGCACATGTTACATATCACCACGAATGTTGGAGTGAGAGCAATAATTCTACAGCCATCAATCACTGATAACACTAAACTGATGAGCGGTAAAAGCTTTTAAAGCGTCGCCTATGGCCAATTTTGGGTATGGTAGTTTTCTGCGATTTCGCGGGTGCGCGCAATTTTAAAGCTTGACATGTTTGGTGTCTATTTACCTGACGTCAAGCAAAACAAACGACAAACGCACTCATCAATTTGTTACCAGTTATACAGTAAGGTGCACACGTAATGGGCTTTGAACAGTAAAACAGTAGAAAGGCATCATGGCAAACTCACAAACCAGAATGTAAAACAACTTGTCTCACCACTAAGGACAATGACAGAGGTTTGCCTATAAGAGGTGCCATGATGCCTTTCTACTATTTACCCGACGTGACCCCATCTTTTATATTTTACCAAAAAACTGGGTAATAATAAATGTTTCCTAACAATGTAAATAAATGTTTCCCCAAAACTTTTCAGTAATTTTTCCTAATTATAGTAAAAAATAAAATCCCCAGTGGTGTTTAAATACCACCAAAAGAAAGCTCTGGTATAGCTTGGTATACCAAGCTTTCTGGTATACCAGAAAGCTTGGTATAAATTCATTTCAGTACAGCGTTGCATGACGGAATAAATGTCAGTCAAAGTACCGCAGCGCTGAATACTGAAAAATGGCCTGGCCAGGAAGGGGGTCTAAACCCCTGGTCTTCAAGCAGTTAAAGTAGCAGTGACATCAACATTGCTGTACATAGCTTGTTCAGAGATAAAAGCTGTAGGAAGGGCCCAGAAGGTCCATCAACTATAAGTCAAAATTTCACACTGGATCACTGCACAGGTCCAGAAGAAATACACAACGCTCACCAAGATTCAAGGCAGAATACAGATACCTCTTTTACTTATCCTAGGGTTCAGCTTTAATATATCTGTAGCTTTCTTTTTATCATGTAGTAAACCAAAAACCAATCAGACCGCTCCTCCGCGCATCGGCAGGGGATTTAACTAGGTGCTCACTAGTCAGAGCATGACAACGTTCTGAAATCAACTATTATTCAAATGTAGAAAACACCGGTCGCACACTGTATAACGCTGGAACACTTTCATGAAGAATCTGAAGCATCACTGTGTCCCACCCAAGCTTCACCCCCCTGACGCATGTCACCCAATCCTGGGCTAAGTCATAGACATTTCTTTCTAGAATAGCACTGATAGTTAACAATGTCCAGAGGTTTTAATAAAATATTTTAATGTAGAAATTCTGTGTAAATCATAACTCATCTCTTCAGGGAAGCCTATCCCACCTCAACCTAACCACTGAACCATTACATTCTCAAACAATTCATCCCCACACAGCTACCTCATCATGTATCACTGGCCACTCCCTTTTAGATTGCAAGCCCTCACGGGCAGGGCCCTTGTTACCATCTTGTCTTGAATTGTATTGTGATTGTAATGTCTTCCTTATATTGTAAAGCGCTGCGCAAACTGTTGACGCTATATAAAGCCTGTATAATAATAGACTAAACTTTTCTGAGGCTCAATTCAATTGCTGCAAGATATTTTTATGGTCATAAGTGACAACAATAATTAGTATCTTTGAAGAATAAAACTTGGCAATTGTTGTGCCTTGATTAATCATGCTAGGTACAACTATGGTAGTGCCTTCCAAATCTACCAACTCACTTGAGGCTTGTGCGACTTACCAACATGACATGATTAAACCGATCAAATTGGGCAACCATTGTATGTGTATAAGACCTTTTTCAGGAGAAGTGATTGTTCCAATTTTTCCCCAGCCTATTGCGACTGTATTCCCCTAAGACAGATTGACAATAGGAATGTATAAACAGTGCTTCTCCTCATTCCATGGTAGGTGTAAACAAGCACATTTGGCTGATCTGAGGATGCATGTTTGTAGAAAGGTTTTTATAAACTGCCTGTCCCAAAAAAAAGTAGTGACTTTTTTTTGGCCAGGCAGTGTATTAAAAGGAGAACTATGGGGTTAAAGCTTTTCCCCATAGTTCTCCTTAGGGTAACTGGAAGACACAAACTAGCGTCCTCCTGTCACCCTAAGCTCAGTATAGCGCGAGCTACAGCTCGCGCTATACTGAGACGCCGCAGCTGAAGCGGATCACGACAATTATGTCTGGATCCGCCCAGCTGCGTGAGTGACAGCTGGCTCTGCCTATCTAGAGGCAGAGCCAGCTGTACCCGCCGCCTCCCCCGTCTATTCCGCCAGTCAGCGCTGGAGGATCGGAGCGGGGAGGGGGAATCCAGTCCCTCCCCTGTCACGGCTCTCTGCAGGGATAGATCGAGAAGTGAGTGAGCGCCGGTATGTGTTACCTCACTTCCCAATCTACTGAGCCGACCTGTGACAGTTTCATTGTCACAGGTTGGCTAGAACTATGAGGTGAGTGAAAAGCACTCACCTCATAGTTCTCCTTTAAGGACCGAATGGAGACTGGACACACCTAGACAGTACATTTGACTACCATCTACAGTCCGTAGATAGTTTTAACGTCTCATTCGAATACTACACATTCCAGAGTCGTGCAGATTTATAAGACACTGACCCTTTTTTATCTTCTGAAAATTGTATCTTCCCAGCTTAGAAATGTGAAGGTAAATTTTAAATAGAAAGCGTAGCAAGTGTACATTATTTTTTTTAGACTACAAAGATCTTTTTGTTTTATTGAAAGCAAACAAAAATATTTACCTGTAGCAATCATGACTCAACTTACCCTTTTCTGATTTTGCTTTGATCTTTGTCGGCTTTTCCTGTTTACCTTGTAAATTCTTCCTCAGTGTGTGTAAATTACCCTTTTGTCTGATTGGTGCAATATGGTAAGAATGGCAGAGGGTGACTTTGTGTTGCTGTTCAATGTATTTCATTGCTAGGCGGATGAGCTGATCCTGTTCTACACGATCACTCTCTGCTCTCTTCAATACCTCTGTGCTGTATGCAATGTCAAAAACTAGTGGAAAAACAGAAACGTTTGCTGTATCAGAACCGTTAAAAAGAAGAGTTTAAATGCAAAAGTACAATCCTCACATATTTAAATAAAAAATGCTAAGCAGAGCCAATGCTTCTCTAAGCAGCTAATTGCAAGCGATTCAGCCTCCTCAGAATTATAGCTTGTACTGACTTGTTGTTTTGGACTATAAAATATTTTCCGCTTTAGCTTGCAACTCAAAAGATGTGCAAGTAAGTTATAATTGCAGTGACTGGTAGTTGCTTTTTTTCCCCCCCTCTCTTTGTGACATTTTTATTTTGAACCTGTTACCAGTAAATCCCTTTTACAGTTACGATTAAGAGAGACAATTGAGACAAACTCACCAGTCCCTTCAGATGTATCTTCCAATTTCCCAGCAATTAAGGGCATGGGATGTAAGTCAGACTGGGGAGCTGGTACCTTTTTCCATCCACATATATTAATAAATAGCATCCTTTCTTCTGGATACTGTAAAATAAACACACACACAAAATACACAGTAAATGGGTCAATTTTAAACTCTGGTCTTCTTAGCACTGTCCCCTTCTGTTAAAATCTATGGCCAGGTATTATCCAAATATGCTCCCAAACCTTCTAACCCCTTTTAGAACATGTCTCGGGTGAATTTATTTTCTTTTATCTTGTCTTTATGTCACAAACGGAGATAAGAACCCTGCTTCTCTGTCTAACAACCTTCCCTGTGAGTGGGGTGTAAGGGGTGGCTGGTAATCCACCAGAGACCCATTCAAAAGGTGCTTATATATAGCTACTGCCTACCCCCAGGTCACTCTACAGATGTGGAGGAGGGTTGGTACTTGGTGCAGAGAAACTGAAATAAGAGAGAGGTATGAGACACAGGACAGCTGGAGGTGGGAATGAGGCAGGGGACTACAAGTACTGAGATGCCATGGCAGAGGTACAGACTGTGGATGCAGCAGAGACTGCAGATGCAAAGAGGCTAAGATCATGAGTGTTGGTTAGACTATGGAACAACAGGACAGCTAGGGCATGGGTGCAGCAGTGGCTAAGCTGCAGATGCACGTGGAGACCAGGCCAGGTTGCAGCAGTGATAGGGCTGTGAAAGCAGGCTGGGTGAAGGCAGGATACAGGATGAGTGCAGTATACACTAGCTTCAGTAGCTCAGGGAGTATTGGACACTATACTCAAGCGGTGACAGCGCATCCTGCTGAAGATTAAATAGATGAAGCAGTCATGTGGTGCAGCAGGGACACTGCAGGGAAAACCGGGAAGTTCCTGTGGGAGACAGAAAAGGTGCCAGCCCAGGCACACGGACAGCAAGCGAATGTGACATTCTATATAGAGAAACAGCTTCACCAGGCTTGTTTCTTTTTTTGCAGGAGAAGCTGCTGGAAGTTGTGCCACCCAATGTACGTTACGTCAAGATTGACTTCATCAGGGGCATGATGTAACATAACATAGTGTGGAGCTTGCAACACAGAGCTGGGTGGAGCAGGTGGAGAAAGTCTGGAGAGCGTTCAGCTGATCTGACGGTGTCCCTGCATGCACCACAATGGTTTTATTTATGCGATTGGGCTACATGCCTACATTTTATGTAAGTTTTTATTAAACATTTTATACAGTGAAGCAGTGTGCACTATGGTACGTGTTTTCTCTCATTTTTGGCTGATCCAACGTATTTACTGCTGAGTACCAAAGAGGACCAGGTAGAGATCCAAACATGTCAAGCTTTAACATTGCGTGCCATGGCCATGGGTGATGCTTCAAAAGCTTTTACTGCTCATCAGTTTAGTGTTATCAGTAATTAATGGCCCTAAAATTATTGCTCTCACTCCCACATTCAAGGCAATATGTGACATGTGTGACGTAATTGTTGTTTTCGCACGTAGGCTCACCCGTCACGTTTATATGTGCGTACATGCAGGGGCCTTACATTTTTTTGGGGGTGTTTTTATTTTTTATTACACTTAACTTTACTGCTATCACATAGGGGGGCTAAAAGCCCCCTATGTTATAGCCAATATACAATGCAGGTCATCTTTATGGAGACATCAGGGGTCTCTAAGACCTCTAATGTCACCTTGGACCCCTAAAGAAGCTGAGGAAACAGAGATCTGCTTCACCAGCTTCTGCTCTGGCTATAGCAGCCAGAGAAATGACACCTTCCGACTTTAGAGAGAGAAGAGGACAGATCAGCAGTGGGAGAATGCTGATCTCTCCCCTGTTCTCACTGCTACTAGCCGCTGTGCTGGTTCCGGGCCCACAGGGGGGACAGCGGAACCCGGGATAACCGGCAACGGCGTTGGAGGGGTGCAGAAGGGGGGCACGCTTTTTAGTCTCATACAAGCGATCAGCCGGCTGTAGAGCCGGCTGAACGTTTATATGTAACAGCTGCTACCGCATGTTTACATTGCCAGCGGGATTCTGCGGAGCAGAAAAAAATTATGTACATGTACGTCCATCCACTGAGAAGAGTCCGCCCATAAATTTACAGTGGGCGGACAGCAGGTGGTTAATAGCACGGCACATTTACACTCATATTAGAACAACTTGGATTTGCTTTGCTCCTCCAGTCAAAAATCAGTCTGGACATACAGTTAATATCACTTCAAAACATTCTGAAAGAAGATGTCTATTATTTTTTTTATCTTACCAATATCTTAGTTTGTACACACAAGAATGGTTCTGGGGGCTCCATGAAGTCTTTTCCTTCCTTCATATGTCGCTGTATGAACTTCTGATAACTGTCTGGGCTGTTTTCAGCCATATCATCCAACATGCTCCAAAACTGGTTGACCTGAGATAGCAGCTCATTTGGTGTGACTTTGCTGTTCATCTTGACTGTGTGCAGAGTTAAGCACTATGGACCTCTCTGCAGAACCAATGTATAGACAATTTTGTTTAAAAATGCAACAGCACATAAGAGGAATCAGAAGAACTCAGGGGCTCAAAACTCTATAAGAAAACAGGATGTGTTTGTAATCAAAGTGTGATAGACACTTAAATAGATGTTAAAATGTGCTGAAGAGGAACTTATCACCAGGAGAAACAGTGTAATCTGGCATAAAAGGGTGATCTAAAAGCACCACAACATGACAATAACAATAACTGCCATAGAAAACCTCTTCCTCTGCGGCTGATGTACTGACTACCTTGAAGACTGTGCAATATGCAAATTTCAGCCTTGCAAATTTTATCATGCAGAGTCTTATGCACCACTCATCCAACATTAGAACATGGGGTGTGCAAAGGGAAAACAACACAACTTGTATATATACAGTAAATAATATACACAAACAGTTAAACATTAAAACTTATTTTTTATTGAGTAATAAAAGAACTTAAAATAACATTTGCGCTTGTCACTGCACCCCTAGATAGAGATAATGGTTATTCTCTGCAATAAGGTATGACCTCCAGTTTGTATGTGGCTGCACAATTCCATATAACTACAATAAATATAACAAGCATATACAGCATCTTAAACAAGTCATACATATGTCATGTTAAAAGTGAAGGGCCTAAAAGGAGTGGGGCCCTGGATCGTTTATTTTGGTAGTTATTCCAGTTGACTATCAAGTCTGGTACTGGAGGGAATCCTCTTTCAGGAACTCTCTGAAGAGCAATGGACATTTGTGTTCGATGCCTGTTCAAGGGGTCCAGCCAACCCCCACACATTGCACTAACATTATCAACACTGTGATGTGATCCCTTTAATACATTTTGGGACTTTAGGAGTAGGATCCACGCTGTGCTGGTGACATATTTCTCTGCAGATGACCTAAGGGTGCAGGGAGGAAAATGCCAGATAAGTTGTGTGAAGTCCTGAAGTGTTTTTTTTAATTAGAAGTGTCATTCAGTAGAACTTTGGAGAGTTTCTGGCGCTCAATAGGTCCCCCTTCATCAGGGCTTTGCAGATGTTGAAGAAAAAAACAAACATATACTGGACTGATAGACCCTGAAAGGTAAGTCACCTCAGCTAACACTGGTCAAACCTCTGATTGTTTATTTTGAATCCCTACACATTCAAAGTTTGCTCAGGTTTCAAATCTTACCTGAGCAAGTTTGCTCAGGTAAGATTTGAAAATGAGACAGATAAGCTGATCGGCTGCAATGCAAATCTGCTCCAGTTTTGATAAATTCCCCCAAACTGTTTTATTAAAGTGGCTCCCTGCCACTCTTTTAGGAATGAACCCCTCTATTCTCTTCAGCTGTCCCTATTTTTGGTCTGATGTACAGATACCTAAGAAAATGTTTTTTTATTGAAAAGGAGAACTATGAGGTGAGTGCTTTTCACTCACCTCGTAGTTATAGCCGACCTGTGACAATGAGACTGTCGCAGGTAGGCTCAGTACATCGGGAGGTGAGCGAACACATACCGGCGTTCGCTCACCTCTCGATCCTGTCATGGCTGGATTCCCCCCCCCCCGATCCGCCAGCGCTGACTGGCGGAACGGGCGGGGGAGGGTACAGCTGGCTCTGCCTCTAGATAGGCAGAGCCAGCTGTCTTTCACGCAGCTGGGCGGATCCCGGCATAATTGTCGGGATCCGCTTCAGCGTCTCAGTATACCGCGGGCTACAACTGGCGGTATACTGAGCCTAGGGTGACTCCAGCGCTGACTGGCGGAACGGACGGGTACAGCTGGCTCTGTCTCTAGACAGAGCCAGCTGTCACTCACGCAGCTGGGCGGATCCAGACATAATTGTCGTGATCCGCTTCAGCTGCGGCGTCTCAGTATACAGCGAGCTGTAGCTCGCGGTATACTGAGCTTAGGGTGACAGGAGGACGCTAGTTTGTGTTCCCCCGTTACCCTAAGGAGAACTATGGGGAAAAGCCTTAACCCCATAGGTCTCCTTTAACTGCCAAAAGTGTTATTATGTCCTACAACCTTCATCATTTTGTTTGCCATTTTAAAATTCCAGTATACAGGAAAAGAAATAGTGGAATAAAAACAATTCTGGGTTTTACCGATCATTTTCTGCATAAAGATTCTTAACGGTCCAAATAACTGGAGGTGTGGCAGGGATGTGTCCATTGCTTAAATACATTGTGCTGGAAGCTGTCCATCTTTCTTAATGCAGAAAGTTGGGAGGTATGAAGTTTGTGGCCCGTAATGCACTGACTGTTTTATGTGATAGTGTGAGAGGATTATTAAAGGCAAATTATGAAGCTGTCACATGTTGGCTCTATTAATCGAGAACTGAGTGATCACAAACTGCCGATCGCTCAGTTCACAATCATCTCCCTGCAGAGAGGGGTGATTGTCAGTCACCTCTCCCCACAGGCATTCCCCCCTCCCAGCCCTGCCTGTGGGGATGGTTAGGGAAGGGGTGGGCACAGCTGACTCCGCCTCTAAAAAGGCAGAGCCAGCTCTCAATCAGGCAGCGTGGTGGATCCCAACAATTTTGTCAGGATCTGTCCCGGCTGCAGCGCAGCTTTGCGCTGTCAGCATATAACAGGCAATATCCTGCTATATACTGAGTTTTGGGTCACAGGATGAAATTACTATATGTCCTCCTGTAACCCTAAAGAGAAATATGGCAAACAAAGGTTGGGTCATAGTTCTCTTTTAAGAGATTTTGGACTCTTTACCTGGAATTCATTAAAAGTGTCACTTGTTGCACCATTCGTGCAACAAATGGCGCAACTTGTGACAGATTTATGCAACTGTCGGTAAGGTGTATCTGTTGTTGAATTGCCTCAGACAGAAATTTGTCTGTGACACAATTTACTCCACCATGGAAGAGATTTTATTTACCTCTACATTTCTTATCACCAATAGGGCATTATTTCTTAATGGATTTGTCGCAGCCATATTAAAAGTGTTGCACATAAAACTATCTGAACTTGTCTCAGGCATTTGAAATAGCAAGAAAACTTTTGCATGGCCTTGGTACATTTGGTGCAGGACTTTCTTATACAGCCACAATGCCAGAAAAGTGTCACAAATGCCACTTTATCTTTTGGCTTGGTACTCCTGGTATATTCTATATTCTTTGGGTCACTCCCGTGGTACCCATTGGTGGGTATCTCTGCAGCTCCTAACAAATAAATACCTGAAGCCCCAGGCTGAGTCTCTGATGAATGGGGCTTTCTGGCTTGCGTTACTGAAATTACTCTTCATGATTACTTCAGAGTCCAGTATATGATTTTGTTTTAGCACTGCAAAGCTCTGAGGAGGCCCTGACCTTTGAACCCCTGAAACGCATTGGAATTCTACTGAATGTGACTTCTGGAATTCACAAATAATGTTGGGGCTTTCTACCTTGCACCCTCAGCTGTAAAAATCTTATAGAAAAGCTTTTCCCTGTAAATAAAATGTAAGCACAATTGCTAAGCATGTAGAACTGGTCAGAAGATATAAATAGCTGATGACGCAGTCTGTATGGATTTTATTGTACATTTGGTGACACCTGATAAATACTGACCTTTGCTCCCTGGGACAATCCTGCAGGCACAAGACTGTGAGTCATCAGACTGTGTGTGGAAATGAAGAGGGCTGTGTACCTGGCAGGATACAACAGGAGAATACGCGTGCTCTGGGACACAATCTGCAATACACTTGCCTTCGTCAACACAACGCTGTTGCCGTGGCAACGACCACACGGTGCATCACTGAAATGCTTCCCCCGCGTCTACACACAAACGTTCCGCTTGAAGTCAGGGAAGCGAGGTGCACTGTGGATGTATTTCCGGGAAGAAGAGGAAGCGGCGACACAGTGTAAGGTAAGTTAGCTTGGCCTGGCTGGAGAGAAGAGAGGGTACAGTAAGGACATGACGCCTGTCACCATCGGCGGGAGGGGCTGGGATAGTGGCGCTTTATAGGTCACAGGCGGCTCATAGCAGAGCTGTGTGAAGGGTGGACATGGAGGGGATCGTTCTGTGTATGTGGCACACAGGACATTAGAGGGGCCAGGCCAGCTGCAGGGCAAGATAGGGGAGATGGAGCTGCACTCATACAGAGGTCATAGCAAGCCCAGATTTATATTTCCTGCATCCCTTGGCATGGTCCCCGGTCAGCGTCCAGTAGTACTGGGCATTGTCCCAGGTCAGCGTCCAGTAGTACTGGGCATTGCCCCGGGTCAGCTTCCAGTAGTACTGGGCATTGCCCCGGGTCAGCGTCCAGTAGTACTGGGCATTGCCCCGGGTCAGCGTCCAGTAGTACTGGGCATTGCCCCGGGTCAGCGTCCAGCAGTACTGGGCATTGCTCCGGGTCTGCGTCCAGCAGTAATGGGCATGGTCCCCGGTCAGCGTCCAGCAGTACTGGGCATGGTCCTGGGTCAGCATCCAGCAGTACTGGGCATGGTCCCGGGTCAGCGTCCAGCAGTAATGGGAATTGCCCCGGGTCAGCGTCCAGCAGTACTGGGCATGGTGGCAGGTCAGTTTCCAGTAGTACTGGGCATTGCCCCAGGTCAGCATCTAGTAGTACTTGGCATTGGTTGTCATTTTCTAGTACTTGTCCCAGGTCAGTGTCCAGTAGTGCTGGGCATTGTCTCCAGTGAGCATCTAGTAGTACTGGGCATTGTCATCGGTCGCCATTTAGTAGTAAGTATTGGCGCTGCTCATTGTCATTTTCTTTGGCACACATGTTGAACTAGGAACACTCATTTTGTCAGTGTTGTGTTGGATGGGTCATGCTCATGGATTATTGTCATGTTGGACTGGCACGCTCAATGGTCAAGGTAACATTGTATAGGGCACACTCACTGGTCAGTGTCATGTATAATGGGGCACACTCACTGGTCAGTGTCATGTAGAATGGGGCACACTCACTGGTCAGTGTCATATAGAATGGGGCATACTTATTGGTGAGTGTCATGTTATTATGGGACATGGCTTCTGGTTCAGTGTGGTGTCATGGGTCAGCTTCAAGTGCATGGACCCAAGTTGTAATCTAAGAGTATCTTCTTTTAGTTTTTTTTTTAGGCCTTGAGATGTCCCGTGTTCCACTTGGAAAAGTCCTACTTAGAAATGTCATACGACACACAGATGCCCATAACAAGGTAAATGCATTTTGAGGGTATTTGCACTTTTTTCATCAAGGCTAAACAATTATAGATGTAAAGGAAATAAAAGGGTTATGTCGTCAATAAAATAGGCAAAGCACCAATTGTGTCGATGTAAAACAAGTGAGATGCAAGTAATAAATGGTCATGGAGTGAAAGATAATTGTGTTGTTGCTTTATAAACAAAATATAGAACTAAGGATAAATATTATGTTAAATACACACAAAGCTCACAGTGGGAGGAATGAAGTAGCAGGGGCAGTGCTGCCAATCCAGAAAGCAGTGGATAGGTCTAGGTGTGGCCAGGTGCTGATTGACAGGCTACAGCAGCACCAATGCAGATAGCCATACCCCCTGCAACACCTTCTCATCCCACTGTAGTGAAACCAGGCACAGCATACATGAGGGACAATGCTGCTTTGAATTCAGTAGCAGTGCAGCAGCGTTGTCCCCCCCACCGCAGAAAACTGCATAAGGTGGACTTTAGTAGCAGGCTCAACAGGTTATTGTAAGTCTTTGCAGGGGGACTAATGGAAAACGTTAAAGTGGACCTTTACCCATATCTGTAAAATAACAACAAACGCACCTTTAGAAATGTTTAGTAATGACAATCTACAAACAAATACTTCTAGATGATTCCCGGCTTTGTATTCTTTGCATACCTTATTTCTCTTTTCTTTCCCAGTCTTCTGACAGTGGCCATGTTAACTAAGAGCAGATTTCTAGATCTCCCTTTACTTCCTTGAACTCTGGCACATGTGACTAGGACATGTGACCATGCACAACATCTCAGTGGAGGAAATTGCCTTTCCCTGAGATTTCGTGAGATTACAGATGAGATTTCCCAGCAGTACTCTACTCATGTAACCTTCCCAGGATGCAACGCTTTGGCACTTACATAATTTTTTGCCAGAACTGGACCAGGAAGTAGATGAACTCTATTTGTAAGTAAATGAAAAACAAGTTTGTTTAACTAATGAATGTAAGATGATTTGAAAACAGCATGCAAAGCTGCATGCTGCTGTGTTTTTTAGTAAAAAGGGGTAAAGGTCCGCTTTAAGTGCAGATGCACATATGTAAAACTAAGTGCTGCAACACATTTTTTTTCATGGGAGCCCACTGTTTTCCTTTATGTATGGATAATGTATGCAAATAAAATACTTCAGGGGTAAATGTTTTTCTTCCAAAGACAGTATTCTGGGTTTTGGAATGGAGGCACTTTTGTGGACTAATACCTGTTGTATCTGTTTGATTTAACCTTTGTCAAGTTACCACAGTAAAGCATTAAAGGAAATCCTCCTCTGCTCCCGTTCAATGACTCAATGATGCCATTTAAACTACTGTTGCGCTTCGTCCACAAAGTGGTGTCACAAACAGCATCACCCCCACCCCGGGGACAGTAAAGCTGAATAGATGTGAAAGAATTATTATGATGTTGCTGCAATGTAAGGCGCCATTCAAGCAGGGGCTTATGCTGCATTCAGGTATTTCTGCAGCAAGAACCTATGGATCAGATGTGCTTATTCAGATGTGGCCGCTGTGCCCGTTCAAGTTAGTGACAGTGACCACATCTGTCAGCTGCAGTCCGCATGTAATCGTACATATGGTATAACTGCTTGTGGCTTGGAATAGATGATTGTTCCTGGACACATCTATCCTACGTCCACGGACAATCATCTATCCCGAACCATATGTAATCATACATGGTATGCTACTGACAGGTGCGCCCGCTGTCAGCCTTTCGTTAACTTAATTGGGTCTAGAGGCTGCATCTGAAACGGCACACCTGGGAACCTACGGTTTCTTGCCACAGGAATCCCAGAACGCTCGAAAATGCCAGTGTGGATGCAGTCTAAAGCTGACCATACACCTATAGATTATCTACAGATTTTCTATGGCCAGATGGAACAAGTGCAACAGATTCCTCCATCTACGCTAAACTGTGTGGATGGAGGAATCTCCCACTGGGCCAAGCTTCAGCATCTTGCTAGTTTGCCCCGCTGGCTCTCAAAATACCTGAACAATCCCTGCATCCAATCAGACTGTTCAGGTATTTTGAGAGCCAGCAGGGCCGACTAGCAAGATACTGAAGCTTGGGCCAGTGGGAGCTTCCTCCATCCACACAGTTTAGCGTAGATGGAGGAATCTATTGCACTTTTTCCATCTGACCATAGAACATCTGCAGAAAAGCTATAGGTGCATGGCCAGCTTAATTGTGTGAAACTGTACTGAATCTAGGAGGAGCTGCCTCACTGCAAGGTGAGGAGTGCAGCTGTTTGTTGAGATGGCCGAGATGCAATCTACTAAGACTAGGATGTTCAAATACAAGAACCCTAAACTATCGGAGAAAAACAGGAGGCCATTGTTCGGGGGACAGTATGAGGCTCCAATGGAACTGTACCCCAGGTACCCCTCTCCATAATATGAGGGGAGTATCCCTGATGCCGCTATGACATCTCCAGACTTCTACACCCAATTACTAAACAACAAGAAAAATAGTGAAACCATATATACATCTGGCTTACTGTAACTGTTATATTTATAGCTATATAGTTTTGTAAAGATGGAGAAAACCAAATTATTGTATTGTTTGTTTAACCGCTATGTTTGTTTTGTCTTTCTTAAGTCATGTAAAAGATCATAAGCGAAACTTGGCTATAGAGGTGTTTTTTCTATATTGTATATCAAAAGCAACAGCAAATTAAAAAAATATAAACATGCAATAATGATAAACATGCTTATTGTAATGAGTGTTGCTTATCATGGTTAAATAAAAAGACTTAAAGGAGAACTATGGGTATACTGATCCGCCCAGCTGCGTGACTGACAGCTGGCTCTGCCTATCTAAAGGCAGAGCCAACTGTACCCGCCCCCTCCACCGTCCGTTCCGCCAGTCAGCGCTGGCGGAGCGGGGAGGGGGGAATCCAGCCCCTCCCCTGTCATGGCAGAGAGCCGTGACAGGATCGAGAGGTGAGCGAACACCGGTATGTGTTCGCTCACCGCCCGATCTACTGAGCCGACCTGTGACAGTCTCATTGTCACAGGTCGGCTAGAACTATGAGGTGAGTGAAAAGCACTCACCTCATAGTTCACCTTTAAGTATAATAAATGTGTTGGAACAACACATGTACGAGTTTTTTATTTTTTTTTCTATAGTATGGGGCTGATAAATGAAGAAGGGCAGCATGCTTCTAAACAAAGTCAGGAATAATACCGGGAAGGTGATCTAAATAGCTGTAGAGTGAAATGTGATTTTTAAATTATTCAATTAAAGTTGGCTTTGTATTAATATACACTATATTCAGTATATTGCAAAAAGTATTGGGACGCCGGCCTTTACACGCACATGAACTTTAATGGCATCCCAGTCTTAGTCCGTAGGGTTCAATATTGAGTTGGCCCTCCCATTGCAGCTATAACAGCTTCAACTCTTCTGGGAAGGCGTCCACAAGGTTTAGGAGTGTGTCTATGGGAATGTTTTACCATTCTTCCAGAAGCACCTTTGTGAGGTCAGGTACTGATGTTGGACGAGAAGGCCTGGCTTGCAGTTTCCACTCTTAATTCATCCCAAAGGTGTTCTATCGGGTTGAGGTCAGGACTCTGTGCAGGCCAGTCAAGTTCCTCCACCCAAACTCGCTCATCCATGTCTTTATGGACCTTGCTTTGTGCACGGGTGCGCAGTCATGTTGGAACAGGAAGGGGCCATCCCCAAACTGTTCCCAAAAGTTGAGAGCATGAAATTGTCCAAAATGTCTTGGTATGCTGATGCCTTAAGTGTTCCTTTGACTGGAACTAAGGGGCCAAGCCCTACCTCTGAAACCCAACACCACACCATAATCCCCCCTCCACCAAACTTTACACTTGGCACAATGCAATGAGACAAGTACCCTTCTCCTGGCAACCGCCAAACTCAGACACGTCCATCAGATTGCCAGACAGAGAAGCATGATTCGTCACTCCATAAAACACGCCTTCTCTTCTCTAGAGCCCAGTGGTGGCGTCCTTTACACCACTGCATCCGGAGCTTTGCATTGCACTTGGTGATGTAAGGCTTAGATGCAGCTGCTCGGCCATAGAAACCCATTCCACGAAGCTCTCTACGCACTGTTGTTGTGCCAATCTGTAGGCCACACGAAGTTTGGAGGTCTGTAGCTATTGACTCTGCAGACAGTTGGCGACTTCTGTGCGCTTCAGCATGCGCTGACCCCGCTTATTTTATGTGGCCTACCACTTCGTGGCTGAGTTGCTGTTGTTCCCAGTTGCTTCCACTTTGTTATAATACCACTAACAGTTCAAGATGGAATATTTAGTAGCAAGGAAATTTCACGGATGGACTTATTGCACAGGTGGCAACCTATCATGGTCCCACGCTTGAATTCACTGAGCTCCTGAGAGCGACCCATTCTTTCACAGATGTTTGTAGAAGCGTCTGCATGCCTAGGTGCTTGATTTTATACACCTGTGGCCATGGAGGTGATTGGAACAACAGAATGCAATGATTTGGAGGGGTGTCCCAATACTTTTGGCAATATAGTGTACAGTATGTTAAATAAGTTTCAATTCCTGGTCACCTTGTAATGAGTATTGCTGACAGGTCCAAATTTCCTTGACATTACTGTTTGACCATTACACTTAAATGTACAGTAAGCATACACAGTACAGAACATTCCAGCAAAACCTATGAATTGTTTACTTAGTTTGTTCTGATTGCTATGATTGTTTTACCTTAAACTGGAAATCACTGAAATGAATGTGTTCTACCCGTTTCCCTTTTTAATTGAAACAGATTCAGGAAGAAACAGAAATGTGGAAAGTCAGAGAACTGGAAAAACAGACTGATACACACAGAACAGAGAGGAGAAGAGTGTCGCCAGATCTGAACAGGTCAGCGGTAATCCTGGAGATTGCAACTTCACTATATTTGTTAGCAGAGCATGGCTTATATGGAAAGGTGCTGCACCACATTACAGATCATTATTCACATGTGTAATGCACACTAATATATTTAAAGGGACACGTTCATGAGAGATTAATTAAAAGTGCCATCACTGAACTCTCCTTTGAGAATGCTAGTTCCCTGGCTGTCATTCCGATGCTGTGACTTCAGTGAAATCTAAGTCGCTGATCATGAGCAAGAATAGAGATAAGGAATTCTCACACTTATTTACAGCTTGCTTGTTGCTGGTCTGTGACTGAAACATTCAGAAGTAAGACACAAGCAGGCATCTAGGATTTTCAGAAGGAGCCCTGCATTGGTAGCCCCTAGAGTTCTCTAATGACAGAAGTGTGATACACCTGTGTCTACAATAAAGATTACTTCTAAACCACATGTTCTCTGACCTTTCATTTTAGAGCATCCTCAGGTGGATGACAGTCACTCTGATTAACGGCATCGTCCCCACAGCGGGGACAAATTGTTTTCATTAAAAGAGAACTGGGGTAAGTGGTTTTCCCCATAGTTCTCTTAAGGGTCACGGGAGGACGTATACTAGCATCCTCCAGTGACCCAAAGCCCAGTATATCGCGAGCTACAACTCGCTGTATAGTGAGACCGCTGCAGCCGAGACGGATCCCGACATTACTGTCGAGATCCACCCAGCTGCGTGAGTGACAGCTGGCTCTGCCTATCTAGAGGCAGAGTCAGCTGTACCCGCCCCCTCCCCTATCCGTTCCTCCAGTCAGCGCTGGAGGAACGGGGAGGGGGGTAATCCCCGCAGGGAGATGATCGAGAAGTGAGCAAGCGACGGTATGTGTCCGCTCACTTCCCGATCTATTGAGCCGACGTGTGACAGTTTAATTGTCACATGTCGCCCCGAACTATGAGGATGAGTGATTTTCACTCACCTCATAGTATTCCTTTAGTGACTATACATAAAAGATATATCCTTGAATTAATAAAAAAATGTCATAGACCTGTGAATTCTCATGTCTGTCTCTACAACAAATGTCGCAACTAGAGTCAGATTGATGCACCTTTCAGAAACGGGTACATGAATCTGTCATCATGGACGCATGGTGCAATCTGGCACTGAGGCTGGAGTGTCCATACCGGACCCATCCTCAGTGCAGCTCAGTAATGCTAAACTTCATAAAACTTCAGCATTACTGAGCTCCCACCCGGGCCGCTGCACCTTTCATGAAGGCTTTTATGAATACGCGCAGGTTGTGTTAAAGGGACCCTACCACAAGAAAAGTGTTTTGAATGCTTTCATGAATCCCACCCCCCATAATTTCCTGGTTTAATTGGTTATTTTTGCTCTGTTGTAATGTACCTTGCTGTTCTATTTCAGATGGGATCATAATGGCTACAAGGAGCTCTATCCAGAGGAGTTCCGTGATAACAGGTAGTGTGTTGGTGCTGATTCTATAAAAGTAATTCATGCTAGTTCTGGCCTACTCTCAGAAGTGGATCTGGCTCTGTAATCTACTGCATGCGAAGCCGGCTGCCCCATTCAGGGCTGTGGAAATAAAAAAAACTGCTTGCCCATGGGCTAAAGCGGGGGCCCAATCTACTTGTCCCTCATAACAATCTACGTATCCCAATACAAAAACAATAGTTTTAATCAAAACTAGGGACGTTTTTTCGGTAACGAGTACTGATACTGGTGCTTCCACTGGCGTGGAGCTTGCTGCCTGGGCAATCAGGAAGCTGGGCAGCGGGTCTATATCAGGTGTCTGAACAGACCCCCTGATATATTTCCCTTTTGTAATAGAAAAAGAAATTGAGGACACCGAGTCCTCAATCTCTTTTTCTGCAGCCCCTGTTCTAAATGAATGGAAAGTACAAGTACAGAGGCTTCCCATTCATTCAGAAAATATTTACTATCAACCAAAAAGCACTTCCTGTTCATTCATATTTGGGGAAACATTGTACTGTGTGTCACAACTGATCAGCAATTACTCCACTGTTTGTGATGTACACAGAGGATCGGTAAATATTACACACATTTACAGATCCTCTGCTCGGCCACGCCCAGAGCCGCTGTCATCCTGAAACTGACAGGATGACAGCGGCTTTCTCTCTCCTCCCCACTTGGCCATCCTAACAGCATCTGCCGTCTCCTCTTTCCTCCCGCTCGGCCATCCCGACAGTTTGCGATCCCTGCTTCGCCCCCACCGGCTGCAGCTGTCCATTTCTCCTCGGATCCCCGCTGCCTCAGCCCATTTTTTGTTAATTGCTTTCATTTATAGCTATTATTTTACAGGGGAGAGTCAGGAGAACCCTTGTGATATAACTTCACGATCGCTACCATGAGCTTATAGCAGAAGGGTGGAACCCTTACTGACATGGCGACCTGAAAGCGGTAAGCCATACGTCGGTGGCAGGGAAACGGTTAAAGAGCTCAGTAGTTCAAACTCCAATTGGCACAATACCTTCCATGCCTGCTATGTTCAGAAGACCATGCCAAGTTTCCATCAGAGAGAAAATCTAAAGTAAACAGCTTTTACTTTGCTCACTTTTTCAGAATCCTATAATGTTTTTGTAGTTCCGTTGTCATAGGGGTCCCAAATGTTTAATAAACAGTGTTAATTTATTTTTAATAGTGAAAAAATATAGAACATATACTCTTTAAAAAATAATATAAAATAGATTTTACCCAAATAATCTACTTTTCCCTTTAATCTTTCTTTTTTGTTTTGTTTTTTCCTTAAGAAGTCGTATGAGATCAGATGGGTTTAATGCAGCTGTGAATCGGGTCACTGCAAAAAGTGAAGTTGCAGCAGAAGTTACTCTAAGACAAGATGCGCTGAGTGTACGAGCCTTGAACAAGAAGTATTCTGAATGTGAGGCTGGCACTCCTGACAGGTGGGAAGTGTTGCTGTGGAAAGACTGTATGTAGCCCCTTGTCTTTTATCATGCTGTTTTAATTCGGTACTAAACATGGGAGAGGAAATCCTTCATAGAGCGAAGCATAGAAGAGTGGTGACAGAAAAAGACTAAGTGGTCTCTTGAGTCAGCCCTATTTTTGTTACCATTGATTGACTTACTACATCTGCATAGAAGTCTGTTTCACGCATCCACTACTCCTTCAGTATAACATTTTCTAACATCCCTCCTACTAGTTTGAAGTCTTTGTCCCCGTGTTCATGATCTCAGCTTCATATTACAAATATTGCCCTTCTGACCCTTTCCACACCTTTAATTTATTTAAGATTCCCAGTCATGTCCCCCTTTCCCTAAGCCTGTATGTATTCAATTTCCCAAGCCTCTTCTGATATGTTTTATCCCTTAGACCTTTCACCATTTTTGTTGACTTTTTTTTGTACTTGATGGTTATATTTGAATTGAATGAACTTGACATTTACTTATCCGTTTCAGATGGGGGCATAGTGGGTATAAAGAAATGTACCCTGAAGAATTTGACACAGACGGGTATGTATAAAAATGCATATGTCTGGGCTACATTCTATCTGTGTATTTTCCTTTAAATAGAAAAATAAATATTTCATTTTTAAGTATCCAGCCAGCAGATGGAGCTGTAGGTGCATTTTCACATGTTTACTTATCTATTCTTAGCTGCTTTGTTGGGAGAAAAAAAGTTTACTCGTCCTGATAGCTTAAGCTCCATGCTACACTTGCAAATGAATGAGTCGGAGTACTGACTCTTTTTTCCCCCTGATTGAAGAGTGACTGGAGTTTGAAGGCAAGCAGCTGTTCTTGAGCTCCCTTTTAAAGGATTCTGTGAAACCTGTCTCATGGGTGCACCCTGTATATTTACTTGACATCTAATATTTTTGAGTTGTTTCTCCACAAGAATGGTGCCATGGGTGTCTGCATGCATGTGTTTGAGGCAGATGGAGCAAGGAAAAATGATTTAGCTTGTAAATCGCTTGTTGGAATCTGACCCGTTCTGTATTCTATTCTTTATAGCAAATGTGTAGTGGTGTTGTGTTTATTTCCATTGTCAGAACTGAAAAATATCAAATTTTCAGTGGGAAAATATCAAAATACTTTATCCCCTTCTTAATCCTAAGCCACTTTAATGTGCTTTATACCAGAAATTATAGTGTCTTTATAAAAGGGGAAAAAAACACCAAATAAAACTAGCTCTTTGGATAAGTTGTAAACTACCCTAGTTCTCAGATGGAAGAATTAATTTTGATTATAACAATGTTAGTGGTATTAAAGTCTCCCCTTTTTTTTTAACATGTATCTTCTGCTAGCATGCAGTAGATAAATACCCCAAAATTTAAAAAACGAAAAAAGTTGCAAATTAATAACATACCTGTGTCTGAGCCACTCACTGCCGGCTGCAGAACAAAGCTTCCCGAACGGCCGTGCAGGAGTAAGTGTGTGAGCGCATGCACACTCAATATCACTGCAGGGGAGAGGAGGAGTGACAGTGTAAGTGTATGCACGCTGCCGGGAGTGTGCACGCGGGACAGACTCCGTGGGACACGGGGAGATATAGGAGTCTGCACTGGATCAGAGAGTGGCACCAGCGCTAGAGGGACTGTTGGAAACGAGTGGAAGGAAGAAGATGTTCGCATCAAGAGGCATCACATAAGGTAAGTACTTAAAGCAGCATTAAAGTGACTTTAAAGCCTCGGGGGGAAACCGAAGCTTTAATGTCACTTTAATTCATTCATCATGCTTATTTTGACATCTTATTTGCTAATATTAGGTTGTCATTCTTGCCACCAGCCTAGCCACATGCAAGCTCCATCTCTCACCTCGAGAACTCCGACAAGGCTGCTTGAAATTTCAGCGCCCAGACATATTCTTTTACGTATTGATGGGTATATAATGTTGTAATAGGGAAATAAGAGTTGTGTCCGCCATTTATAAAGTAAAACATATGAGTATTTATGACCAATCGTAAGAAAATCTCAAAACTGCTAAATCTATGTGCAAACTTTTTATTTGAATTTTAATAAACATTGGGTCTCCACAGAGAGGGGTCTTTGTTCATTGTACCTTAATCCTGTTTCAGCGATCGAGAGGAAGAAAAGAGTAAAGGGAAAGCTAATGGACAAGAAAAATCAAGGCGCAAAAACCAAAAAGAACAAGAGTCTCACAAACGGAAACGATCAAAGAAGGCTCACAAGAAGAAGCAGAAGAAGCGTTCACACAAAAAGCTGAAGAAGAGAAAGAAAGAGCAGGTGGAAAGTACAGAGTCTTCAAGTGAAAGCTCAGACGAATCAGAGGAAAAGCGAAAGAAGTCCAAGCGAAAGAAGACAACCCGGAAAAAGAGGGCAAAGAAGCGGCCATCATCCTCCGGACAAGATAGTGACTCATCAAGTGATGAGATGAGCAGTACAGAAGATGCTGAAATAGAGGAACGCAAAGAAAGATGGACTGAAAAACCCAGGAAGAAACATCGTATTAGTCATAAGAGATCAAAATCTAAAAAAGACTCAGAAACAGAGACCAGGAAAAGTAGAAGGACCAACTGGAAAGTGGCCAAAGATGAAAGCTCAGAGAGCTCCGATGAGGACTAAATGTCTGCATATCCCTGTTCTGATTTTATCAGCCTGAAATCACAGGCATAAAGTTTTTTGTATTTTTTTTTTTTTTTCAACCATTTAAAATGTGCAATATTTTGTTCCAAATATATAGTCCTATGGAAAAATGGCTTTCATGTGTGTCTTTGAAATTTGAGGAGTACCAAAAATATTATTATCTTAACGGAAGAAGTTTAAAAAAATCTACCTATATAAGGAAATACAGGAGGAGAATTGAGGGAGGTCAGGTGCATTGTTCTACCATAGGCCCCGTATAGTTCCAGAAGGGTCAGTTCACAAAGATGCAGGAGTTATTTAACACCATTCTTTTTTTAAGGGTATTTTTATCGCCACTTCAGAACATGTGTACATGAAGAAGAACAAAATACATTGCTCTGGTCCCTATAATAGTAAGAACCAAGAAAATCAACAAGCATGCTTTACCACCCAATAAATAGTATATAATAATATCAGTAAATTGGCAGACATACACTCAGGGCCGGTTCACACCACAAACAGTGCGTTCCAGAGAGCTCAGCCTCTGGAACGCACTGTATCTCAACCTGGCCGGTTCCCTGCGTATAGGGGTTGGAGGGGGCGTGGTGGTGCAATGAAGTCAATAACACCACAGCCAGGCCACCCCGCAGTGCCATCACCCGAATGCGTGGCACATTTGTGGCTTCGCTTCGGTCCAGTGCGATCTGCAAAAATGCTGCAAGCACTATTTTTGCAGATTGCACTGGACCAGAACGCAGGTACCGATGTGCCACACGCTTGGGTCCAGACGATCGCACTGCGGGTGGGGGGTGTGGCTGCGGTGCCATTGACTTCAATGCACCGCCATCCATGCCCCCTCCCGCAGGGAGCCGGCCGTGTTGCAATGCAGTGCGTTCCAGAGGCTGACCGCTCTCGAACGCACAGTTTGTGGTGTGAACCGGCCCTCAATCTGCAATATATCAACAGATTACAATTTTTAATATAATACCATAAAAATTAATAATGCCATAGCAATACATCTGATACTATTAGAATGTATTACACGCACACCCTCCAGGAAGGGGGTTAACAATTAACAAACAGGATGAGTGGAATCTAAAGCCCTCTTCCTACACCTGCTGCCTTAAATGTCATTGATAGTGGGGTAGACTATTACCAATAATCCTTTCTGCCGACTTTATCACCCGATGCAAGTGCCTGTCTGTCTGCAACTGTGCAGTTACCGTAGCATAAGGTGATGCCCAAGGTGAGAATACTCTCTTACCACACACCTTAAATAAAAGCTGAAGCCAAGACCAGTATTCTTCAATCTCCCCAAAAAATAAAGGCATTGATGGGTCTTCTTCACTATGCGATCTATATTGGTATTCCATGTTATGTCATCAAAAATGTACACCCCAAATATTTTAATACATAAAACCACCTCTACAATTCCACCACAATAAAAAAAGATTATTTTTGGATTAAACCTTTCGCTTTAGGATGTTCAGTTTACAAATATAAATATCTCATAGGTGTGTAATCTGAATTTTTGTGCATGAAATGGATATTCAATTTTAAGCTTCTATGTCTCATGAATCGGTGTTTATTCTCCTCATGAACCTTTGTGTTTATAAGGACACCTACAGGAGGATTGGACATTGACAATGAGAAAAAAACTAAGCCAGCCCAGGATAACCCCTCCCACTGTCTGTACTGTATGCCTCGGTTTCTTACTGGTTTCCTAGGAGGATGAACATCTTTTTCTCAGCTGTGTAAAATACTGTGTGGGGGAATGTATCAAAATGGAGCAGACCAAATCTGGAGCCGTTGCCAAGGGCAACCAGTCAGTTTCTCTCTTCTGTTTGTTCAGTTAAGATTCAAAAATGAAAGAGAAAAGCTGACTGGTTGCCATGCACAGCTGCTCCAGATTTTGTCTGCTCCAGTTTTGATAAATTCCCCTCTAACTGTTTTATGTAAGCACCATTTTTTCGTCACCATTTTTTTTCTTTAATTAAAACTCTTTTCTACATCGATGCTAAAGATTGTCTGTTTATATGCAGCTATCCAGTGTGGCTGTCCTCAGCCTGAATTTTAGAGTGCTGCATCCGGACCCCGCAGGACTGGACATTGTAGAACTAGCCTGAAAGTGACCTTTGGTCACTGAGTTCCGTGTAAGGCTCTTTGCAAATTCTGTTCTGGATACAAGTTAGTTGCTGAGCACATTCCAAGTCCAGAGCCGTTGCCATTGCTTCAGCACTTGCCCTGTCTCTAAAGACTCACTCCGTAAGCAGACTGTGCTCAGGCTAAGCACTGGGAGCTACCTCATTTACTTGGATCACTGGGTGCCTTTAAAATTCCTGCTTTCTGCCAGTTTCTTCCACGGAAGGAGTTGACACTGACCTGGACTCTAGATGGAGTGTCGTGCACATGCACTCTGCTGTGTCTTTCCTGTCGTTCAGCGCCAAGGAAGCATGTCCCTGCTGCTGCTCTTCCATTGCAAAAATTAAGACCGCAGATACATTACCATTTTGTGCCTTCCCCTGTAGATTCATTATCTGATCTGCCTACCTGAGCCTTCATCCACTGAGATTCTGTCTTATTTTGAGTCCAGTCCTTAATGGACAAGCTTGCCTTGAGGATTTGCAGGCGTCTGCCATTTCTCCCAAATTGAAAGAGACCGTTTTGGCTCTTATTAATATGGTACACACCACTCCTATTGCTTCTACCAGTGCTATTTCCAGCCTTGTGTCCTTTACAACCCCTAAGACCACAAAGACCTTTCTGCAAGGAGCCCTTTGTGGTTTTGCATTGGGGCAAGGTGTTATTTGCATTGGGGCAAGGTGTTATCTTGCCCAAATTAGTTTCTGACTGTCACCTTAAACAGGACATCATTCTTCCATCCTTCTGTCAGGCACCAGTTTTCCAAAAGGAGATTTCTCTCCATTATCTTGATGTGGTTTAGAGTGTGAGCATCCAACTCTCAGGCCCTGTCTCTTTCAGAAAAATTGATTCACTTTTTGTCATCCTTTGCCTTCCACCATCTCTAGAGGGCTCGGATCGGGTTCCACCCTTTCTTGTCAAGACCCACTCTACCAGATCTGTGAGTGCTTCTTGGGCTTTCCTACATCAAGCAACTGTTTTCAGATTTGCAAGGCTGCCTCCTGGTTCTCTGTTCACTTGTATTCTAAGTTCTACCAGGTGGATGGCCAGACCTCATCTAATGAGAGCTTCGAGTGTAAGGTTCTTTAGGCAGCTGTCTGAGCTGCAGGCAGTCCCCAGTTCTATAACCCCAATTTCAAAATAGGTGGGACGCTGTGTAAAATCTACATAAAAACAGAATGCAATGATTTGTGAATCTCATAAACCCATATTTTATTCATAATAGAAAATAGAAAACATATCAAAGTTTAAACGGAGACAATGGTACCATTTGAAAGAAGAAAAAAACAAGGTAATTTTGAAATTGAGAGCAGCAACATGTATCAAAAAGGTTGGGACAGGGCAGCAAAAAGAAGGCAAAGTAAGTGGTACTAACAAGGAGGAGCTGGAAGAACATTTTGCAATTAAGTAGGTTAATTGGCAACAGGTCAGTAACATGATTGGGTATAAAAAGAGCATCTTGGAGAATCAGAGTGTCTCAGAAGTAAAGCTGGGCAGAGGTTCACCAATCTGAAAAGCTGGGTCTAAAATCGAACAATTTCAGAATAATGTTCCTCAATGTAAAATTGCACAGACTTTAAATATATCATCATCTACAGTACATAATATTAAGAAAATATACAGTACATATATCAAAAGATTCAGAGACTCTGGAGAAATCTTTGTGTGCAAGGGAAAAGGCCGAAGCGCAATGTTGGATGCCCGTGATCTTCATGTCCTCAGGCGGCACTGCATTAAAAACAGGCATAATTCTGTGATGGACATCACTGCATGGGTTCAGGAATACTTCAAAAATGCAAGTTAAAGCTCTATAATGCAAAGAAGAAGCCATATCTGAATATAATGCAGAAACGACGCCGTCGTCTCTGGGCCAAAGCTCATTCAAAATGGTCTGATGCAAAGTAGAAAACTGTTCTGTGGTCAGACGAACCAAAATTTGACATTCTTTTTGGCAACCATGGGTGCCACATCCTCCGGACTAAAGAGGAGAGGGACCTTCCGGCTTGGTATCAGTGCTTAGTTCAAAAACCTGCATCTCTGATGGTATGGGGGTGTATTAGTGTGCATGGAATGGGCAGCTTGCACATCTGGAAAGGCACCATCAATTCTGAAAGATATATCCAGGTTTTAGAGCAGCATATGCTCCCATCCAGACGATGTCTTTTTCAGGGAAGGCCTTGCATATTTCAGCAGGACAATGCTAAACCCCATACTGCATCTATGACGACAGCATCGCTTCATAGTAGAAGAGTCCGGGTGCTTACCTGGCCTGCGTGCAGTCCAGACCATTCACCAATTGAAAATATTTGGTGCATCTTGAAACAAAAAATATGACAAAGATGACCCAGGACTGTTGAGCAGTTAGAATTCTATATCGGGCAATAATGGGACAACATTCCCATCCCAAAACTCCAGCAACTGGTCTCAGTTCCCAGATATTTACAGAGTGTTTTTAAAAGAAAAGGGGATGCTACACCATGGTAAACATGGCCCTGTCCCAACTTTTTTTTTTAAAGTCTTGCTGCCATCAATTTCAAAATTACCTTTTTGTTAATGGTACATTTCTTAGTTTAAACATTTGGTATGTTTTCTAATTTTCTATTGTGAGTAAAATATGGATTTATGAGAATTGCAAATTATTGCATTCTGTTTTTATGTCGATTTTACACAGTGTCCAAATTTTTGGGAAATGTGGTTGTACATACATTGCGTATGTACAACCCCATTATGTACAACCGCAACCCCCCCCCCGGGAGCTAGCAGCCCATAACTGCTGGCTGTTAATCCTAACAACACTGCAGCTTTTATCCATTGCATAGATGGACCATAATAAGAAAAGTTTTTAACCCATGCTTCTAAAAGAAAAAAAAAGGTGTTGCTTATATACCATATGCAGTAAGTAAGGGGGGTTTGTCAATGTACGTGTCAAAGGGTACTTGAAGTGATCTAACCTCATACAGGGGCATGGTAAAAAGGCCTTTTAT